CAACTTTCCAGTACTCCCAGGTGGTTTTCAAATGGTTCTCTAACTGATGTCGTCAGCTCATGATGAAATCCTCCATGTAATAATCAATAAACGTATATCGCTCAATAAGTAACTCTCCTACCACTCGACATGGAGAATTTCGAAGGTAACAGACTATCATTTTAAAATGCAATCATGGAAATTTGTCTTCTGCAAGAAAGTTCCAAGGTTATTTTGTAACAGACTGACGTCAGATTGAAGAACCACAGTGATGTGTGAATTGTAGCCAGGGGTAGAACCAAGCATGGTTAGATTTGAAGTTGACGCTATATTTTCATTCAACTTTTGGCGGGGAAACCAATAGTTCTATATGTTCTCCAAATTTCACCATTTCAGAATACAGTCCTATTGACCACCAATATCAAGGGTGAGGAAATTGTCCACAACTTGATGATAAATCCACTTGGTTATCAGAACTCGAGGAATCCAGTTGCTGAAAAGTAACAAGGCTTTTTGTGGCCTGACTATCCTGCTTCTGACCTCCTGAGGAAGAATATATAGCCAAGGTTAAGGAGGTTAAAATGTCTACGAAAAAAGTGTTCAACATCCCCTTATTTCAATAGTTGGTCTTACTTATAGGATCAATTTCGGAACTAACTAAATCCCCCCCCACACACACACCCAACAATGTAAGTAAAGTGACGAAATATAATTTCCAGGAGTAGTGTTGACTAAATTATTTTACTCTTTGATATATTTGTTACTGAATAGGTGTTTCGTCCTAGTTCGGAACTCCTCATCAGTATGCATTTATTACCCCATTGGCAATTGAATCCAGGATCTTTAGGTTACGAGGCGAGCTGTTGTTGACCATCCAGTCACTGGAATCAAATCCAATGACCCATAAATTCTCAGACTAGGAGGAAACAGTGGTCTGGTACTCCCTGATTTTACGGTTATGGTTCTCTAATTAACCGTTGTCAGTCCGCATGATCTAAGCGGAAGTCAGTGAAATCCGTGTCAACTAACACCTGAAAGGTAATCTGCTTAATGGAGTGTTTATAGTCATATTGGAAAATGGTGACAGCTGACGTCCACCGAGCCACGTGTGGGAAGAAATGTTCACTAATGACACCAGAATATTATCGCGAATCGCCAGAATTCAGTGGCTGAATAATCAGCATGCTGTCTTTGCTACCTGAAGATCCTGTATTCGATTCTCGGTAACTCCGTGTGTAGAGATACTGCTGCTGATGAGTCCACAACTAAGACGAAACATCTTTTCAGTTGACCCTGGTCTTTCAATGACTTTTTCTCTAACCAGAACTTGAGCATTAATTCCTCCTTATATTCTATTAGTCTTTTCTGTTCTTGTGCCATACGTAGTAATTTATTTTGAAGAAATTCAAATGAGACATGGTCCACTAGGACACTAGTCTTAAGGCTTCAGGTTAGACCATTGATTGATATCACTTAGAGAACCACTGAAAACCAGCACTAGAGTACTGGATAGCTGTTTTCTGGGACTCATCAGCACTGTGCACCCACCGCCAGGGTTCTAACCCAGGAATTTCCGGTTACAAGACTAGCTCATATATCATCCGCCCATTGGAATCCGACTCTTCAATGGCCAGCCCATGAATTCTAACTTCTACCAATTCGTGATTTTAGCGCCACTGTCACCAACCAAGGTCATCCGCGGGAACTCTATCCCCACTCCCGACGGGATGGACTCCACTGGTCACGACTTCTCAGTAGAACTCCGTGCGACTTCTTTCTGTAGCCAGTCACTCTCTTTATAGGCAAATTAAGTACACACCTTATCTTCAACACACAATTTGCACAGATCTTCGGGTTGTGGTATTTCTGGACTTCATATTGTGTTTCTTTGTGTTCCTTTCACGTCTCCCATGTATCTCCACAACTCTGTATCATTTGCCTTCTCTGAAATACAATCTATCTCCCCGCTATTTGATGTTTTTAAGCCGATAAACGTCCCTTTATATACTACTGATAAATCTTATCAGTAGCACTAGACACATAAAGTGTTTATTTAATCGTAAGCAATTGTATATCCTACGATTCTTATGTGTTGTATAACATAGATCTACTTCTTAAATTTCATCTATCAACTTGTAAATTGATGGTGAGATCTTTTTTTTTGAATATACGTTTATGTTCAAGTATTGGTTTTTAGGGATTTGGTTGATTGGTTACAGGATTTCATCATGAACTGACATTGGTTAGAGAACCATTGGAAAACCTGGGAATACTGTCAAACAGCTGTTTCGTCAGCCTAGTTTGAGACTCAGTAGTACGCACCCACCACAAGGGTTCGAACCCAGGACCTTCTGGTTAAAAGGTGAGCCATCAAACCACTGGGACCCGATCTAATGGCCAGCCCATGAATTCTAACTTCTGCCAGTTCACGACATAGCGCAACCACTAGCCAATGTCTTCGGCGAGTATTTGTCCTCACACCCGAGCTGCTACACCCTACGGGTCACGACTTCCCACCGGAACCCCAGGTAACTACCTACCTGATCATCTCATTGATATTCGAGTATTGGTTTGTAGGGATTTGGTTGATTGTTACAGGATTTCATCATGCGCTGACATTGGTTAGAGAACCATTGGCTTGATGGTATACGAGCTCGCCTTGTAACCAGAAGGTCCTGGGTTCGAACCCCGGTGGGTGCGCGCTGATGAAGAGCCCCAAACTAGGACGGAAAAGCTGTCCAGTACTCCCAGGTTTTCCAGTGGTTCTCTAACCAATGTCAGTACATGATGAAATCCTGTAACCATACTTTTATGTTTATGAATATTCAGCCTATTTATAGGTTTGCTGGTATTTTACATACTTCAGCCCAGCAAATTTGGCTCTTCTTCCCTTTCCTGTTTTAAAAGTAATAAAAGCCAGCCCCTCTTATGTTTAGTCTTATTATTAGTGTTATTACTACTATAATTACAGTTTTATGCGTACTTTTATTTTAAAACCAAAAAGTTGTTTTGTATTTGTGTGACCTCTTCAAAAGAAACAAGCCAATTGTGATCGATCGTTAAAAAATTCACTTAGCAGCAGGCAACTGGATTGATCTCATAGTGAGGATGTTTTTTAATGAAATTACAAGTTAGAAAAACCTTTAAGGTTGGTGAATAACCATTGAACAGTTGTTTTTTTTCCCGAGTTTGTGAATTCCTTGTGAATAAAGTGAAGGCAAGATGAACAGTTCGGGTGGTGATGCACACCTAGCGCTGGGTTACCTACTGAATATTAGAATCTAGTATCCTCGCACTCCAGTTTTTTGCTATTTAGTGTTATAGTGTATTGACGGGAGACAAGGGCCAGGCAATAGATCGTTTATTCAGAAAATCAACAGATATTTATAGATTTTTATGTACGTGATTATTCGTTATTACTAGCTGAGAAACAGTGTCTTCTGATTGGTTGTTTTTATGATGAAGGTTACTCTGTCATCTCTCTGTGGCCGTTTCTTAGACAGTCTGGTGACATATCTGCTAGTCGTATTTGTACACGCTAAGTCTGCTCTGATTGACTGTTGAGTTCCTGAAGGTGTAGCAATAGGATTACCAATATCCCCTATCATAGCAGATATCTTTATGGATAGCTGGGAAAATATTGCTCTTAATACATTTAATCCTACTGCAAAAATATGGTGGAGATATGTGGATGACACTTTAACAGTTTTAGAAACGGAACATATCTCTCTAGCTTATTGACACACATAAACTCACAAGTAGAAGGAATAAAATTCACATTTGAATCGGAAGATGAACAAGGAGAATTAGCTATCATGTTAGATTGTAAAATAAAACGAATAGAAGAAGGTAAACTGCACACTAGTGTTTATAAAAAAACCAACGCATTCTAATAGATATTTAGACTTTAATTCATCTCATCCTTTAACTGTTAAGGCAGACTTAGTTAAGTTAAGTGTCTAACAAACCGAGCAGTAGCACAAAAAAAGACCTAAATGATGAATAGAAACAGACAGAAGAATGGCTAGTTGGTGTTTAATAACTATCCTATAAAATTTATTAGGAAGATCAGAAAAGGTCAAAGGCAAAATAAAAATAATGGGGAAACTAATAACAAAAACATAAATAAGAGAGAATATAGGGCATCTACAGTTGTACCATATAAGGAGGGGACATCTGAGACCCTCCCTACGTAGAATTCTCAATAAAGCAGGAATTAGGGTGGCATTCAGACCTACAAACTCACTCAGAGACAAGCTTTGTAGGCTAAAAAGACCCAGTGAACTCATTTAGGAAAATAATGTAATTTACAAAATACATTGCAATGACTCAGGTCAAACTAGTAGATCGGGGGTAATCAGATTGTCGGAACATAAGAATTTAGCTTAGGTAAGAATAATTGGTCCCACGAAGATAAGTAATTTAGGGAAAAAAGCTCAGCAATTGCACTGCTTGCATGCATTAACACACAACCACACAATAGGGTGGGATAGGGTTAAGATTCTAAGAAGTAATCTATGTAGGTGGAAAGAGACATTAATTACCGAATCTTTGTTCATAGAGTCTACGTCCAACACATGCAGTAGAAATTATTCAATGGAAATACCAGAGATATGGAAGATATTATTACCACCAGTCAGTCAAATCAGAAGAGGATAATAAATAATCTTCAATTGTATTCTACTTCAATTCAATTCACATACATCATAACATTCTAAGAAGTTACTTATTTATTTTGACTATAAAAGCACTCGTCGTCTTTCCCATCTGATTGTATTTGATTGATAACACTCATATTATTATTATTTCCGAATGTACATTATCCCATATTGATTTTTATTCAAATGTCTGATCATCAATTCCACTCATGTATATAAATGAAGCAAGAAAGTTGTGTGAGTGAAGGACTTGATATGATAATGGGTGGCAGTAGTTTGACGTGAATTGATGTCTCCTATTTTGGCTAGCAGACAGCTCTCACCACAATAGGATGGATATTGTCTAATTTAGTCACTTATGAAATGTTATCATTCAATGCCATAGGCTACAAAGCTCCCAAAGCTCCAAAGCCTCAGGATGGTCCGGGGTGGGTACCTTGCGCTGCGGGTTGGCCACCCCTCCGCATACCTCTTGAAATGCCCTCATATGATCGGGCGTCTTACATAGCCTCTCCTGAGGAAGTCCTACTCACTGCCTTCACGTGGCGGAGGTGTTTTTCACCAAAGTGAGAGGGCGAAAGCGGATGCCCGGCGCTCTTCACCGGGTTGACTGTCCATTGGATGACAGTCTAGGGGAGATGGCTAAACCCTGATTCCAAACCTCCAACGACTGGCGTATGAAGCTCACTGGAGCTCACCGGCAGACGTATGGACAAAGGGCTTGTTGGATGTTCTGGATGTCTGGCCCCATTCAAAAAGGCGCATGAACCGAACTCCGGTCACCGGCTGCCAATGGATAGTGGACTCCCTACTCCACTCCTACTGCCTTGTAGGTCACACTTAGTTGTATAAAGGCTAGAGCTGCACTCTCAAACAAAAGGCCGAGCGATTCTGGGGACATCACTCGTACCAAATTCCCATGAAACTTCATGAGCTCTCTTACATGGCTTGGTACAGTCAAGGCTGATATGAAATGCCTGGGGCTACAAACCGTCTACGGACTCCGTCTGTGGAACAAGAATTGGATAACCCTGTCGCAAAACCTTGCATCAGATCGCCGTGCCTGGGCAGCAATGATTCGAGATGTTCATGAAGCCGGCTTATCCTCCCGTAGGAGATAGCCGAAGTAAAGAAAGAAGCTACAAATGTTGTGTGGTTGGAGAGGTAGTTGGGAAGAAGTCGTTGACCTAGGTTTCGTGCTTGTTGACACTCGTCAGCACGGTGTATCTGTAATCTTGAAAGAACTCATTTCTTTGTTGCTTTTCAAACACATGTTTTCTATAGATGGATTAGTTTCCTTTTTACGAGCTGATCACGGATTGGTATCATTTAGGGAACCACTGGAAACCAGCACTGGAGTACTGAACACCTGTTTCCTCTATCCTAGTTTGGGAATTATCGGCATTACGCACCCATCACAAGGAGTTCGAAGCCAGGTACCTCCGTTCACAAAGCTAGCAAGCTCGTATACCATTCAGCCATTGAGACCCGACTTCTCAATGACTAGCCCATGAATTCTAACTTCTACTAATTCGTGATTTAGCTCAACTAGCACCAACCAATATCATGGGTAGGACATCCATCCTCGTCTATACTAATGACTGGTCTCCTTCATAAATTCAAGTGGGGTACAAACAAGACGTTTGTAATATTCATTGCAGCTTATCACCTTCTCACCTGCTGCGTATACATTCTAAGAAGGCAGTTTGGTTAAAATATCAGGAAAAAGATATTCAACCTACACTAATAGTTAATTGGATTAAAGTTCATCAATAAAGATTGAAAAAAAAACATGTATTAAGAGCGTGCATGTGCAACATAGATGGAACTGAAATAGAAACCAAGTCGGAAATTAAATACCTAGGCGTTATTCTATCTGCTGATCTTTCCTGGTCGTCTCATATCTTGATGATTTCTAAGAAAATATTCCGTCTTACCTTCTACAACAAGAAGTCAAAACATTCTGGTATAACCCAACCCTTACTCCTACAATTCGTTAACTCTCGTATTCTGCCTATTATTCTCTCTCTTCTATTGTTTTTCCAGGGCTACTGAAGAAAGACTATAACATATTACGCAGGATGTTAAAGGTTGTCAGCAGGGTAAGCAACGTTCCACTTAACCAGCTTGTTAATATTCTGGTCGACAGGCACATGGACTCATGTGAAAAATGGACCAAATCAATTTTATCTAACTCACACCACCCTCTTCACTCACAACTCTCCCCTTGCATCTCATTAGGCAAAGCCAGAAACCTATAAAGAAAACTATATGCTCGCACCAGCAAGTACAAAAACTCAACCATACCCTACTTAGCTCGTGTTCTGTGCGATAAAGAAAGCATTAGGCGTGACACCAATAATTCATTAAATAGTCAGTAGTAAAACTGGATCTCGTCTTTCCAACTCATATCATTTATAGGTACAACATTTTCTTTCTTTCTTTTCCTTCTCTCTCTCTTTTTATTCCGTTTTGTGCTGCTTTGTTTCTTTCTCTCGCTTACGCCAGTAAATATAACAGCTCCCACTTTTCTAACACTTTCAAACACTGTTCAACTTTGGCTTTGCTACCGACATTCCAATATGTTGTTGTCATAATGAAATGAGATTTCCTTAATCTATGTAGAATTCTATTTATTGATAATGTACTAACTGGATGCAATACTGTAGTAAAAATGCTGAGAATTCCATTCTGTATCACAAGTACTGTTTTCGAATAAAGCAAATTATTATTATCATTATTATTATTATGTATGAGCATTGGTGATGGTTCAGTTGTAAGATACTTCTCATGCACTGGCTTGATTCCTTGTTGACACACTCCATAGTCTCTCCTAGTATACGGCGGCCTGCTTAAACCTTGGCCTACCAAAATTTTCCGTCACTTACTTGGATTACTTGGATTTATTTTGTTTTAATTATTCAATTATGTATCCAAATGGTATCACTTACTCTCGCGATTATTTAAAATGTTTTCAACCTGATGATTTACGTGTTTATAAATAACCTTAAGAAAAAGCATCATGGTGGGTGCCGACGATCCTTAAAGTGTACTTCACTGCATCAGATGACTGTTCCTGTGATTATGAATACAAATTTCAGGTCATTATCGAACAAGATTAATCACTTAGATGCTTTATTATATTCAAATATTTATCGTAATTCAGGTGTGATAACGCTTCAAGAAACTTGGCTCCACGATTCATTTGATGACAGTTTAATCTTACTGAATGGTTTCAATATGTACAGACAAGACCGAAGTAGTTCAAGGAAGAAGCGAGGTGTTGGTGTTGCTACATTTATCAATTCTCAGTGGTCTGTTACCAACAACGTTTGCTTTAAATTCTCAAATGATAATATTGACTGTATAACTGTCAAATGTCTACCTAAACACCTATCTATATACAAATTCATTCATATCATATTGTAGCACTTCAGAACTATCTATGCTTTACTTATGTATTCACTATTTTCGCTGCCGCCTCTTTGGGAAACTCGTTGTCCATAGTGACAGGTGACTTTAATTCTTGTGACTGCAGCTTTCTAACAGTGCTAGGTCATGAAAATGTCGTTAACTTTCCCACCAGACTGGATACTTCTCTTGATCTTGTATTTATAAATGTCTGCGAAATATACGAAGCTCGTAAAAGAGCCCCACTGTTTAACTCAGATCATTGTATTGTACGGGTTTTACCCAGTTACACAAAAGGACTTTTTCACACCTTTCCAAGAAAACTGTAAATGGATGTTACTCTAAGGAGAATGTTCAGAATCTTAGGGGCATGCTCAAAGACACAAGGTGGGACTTGTTTAATGAAGACTCTCTTGATGACACTATCTCAAATATTACATGTTATCTAAAAATTTGTCTTGACACTTGTTGTCCCAGAGAAACACTGTTCATCAGATTTGACCGTTTCTCCTGCCCCCCTCAACTTAAAAAGCTTCGTAGGCAAAGAGAAAAGTTATATAAAATGAAGGATAATATTGGTTTGAAAAGAATTAACAATCTAAAGTCTGAAATGCACAGATTGAATTCAATTTACAACCAAAAGTTTCTATCTTGTAAAAATGCGTCTAATATATGGAAACTTTTTAAAAAAAATCACTGGTGGTAAGCAGATGAATAGTATTCCTTATTCCTTCGATCGATGTTCGTACACTAAACAAGTCTTTCATACATTCTCACACAAATGCCAAACTTTCTAGTGTTAAAAGCTTTAATGAAACCCGCTTCCCTGGTTTCAATACAAATGATGTTCTAAAATTTCTCCAGTCTCTGAACCCTTTTTGTAGCCTAGGTCCAGATGGTTTGCCTACTGTTATTCTTAAAAAGTGTGCAAATATCCTGTGTTATCCTCTCATGGACATGTTTAATGAATCTTTTTCCAGAAATGTCATACCAGCTGTTTGGAAGGACAAAACAAAAGTTAAATGAAGCTGTTGGTTCCTATGACCGTCGCAAAATTGATGACAGTGATATAGAAATCAAGTCTGAAGTTAAGTATCTTGGATTAATTCTTTCTTCTGACCTATCCTGGTCTTCCCATGTCTTAGCGGTTTCTAAAAGAATATTTCGTCTGACTTTTTACACTAAGAAGTTAAGGCACTCAGCCCCTCCTCCGCTTACAGTTTGTCAACTCGTGCATCTTACCTATTCTTTACTGCTCACCCTTATTCTTTCCTGGGTTGCTTAAAAAGAAGACTATGTCATACTTCGTAAAACTCTGAAAACTGACTGTCAGTAGGGCGAGTGGTATCCTGTCGGGCAATATCGTTGACTTTGTCATTGATAGGCACTTGATTTCATGCAACAAATTTTCTATAGGAATTTTGTCAAACTGTGAGCACCCACTCTACCCGGAGCTCCAACCTTGTGTCTCCTCAGGTAAAACAAGAAGTCTTTTCAGAAGACTTTATGCACGTACATCTAAGTATAAAAATTCCACTATACCATATTTGACGGCACGTACTTTATGTGATGAAAATAGTGTTAGGCATGAATTAACTAACTAACCTTCTTTGCACTACTAAATAAACCATTTCCTCCAACTTTACAACATCAGCCTTTATTGTCATTGTACTTCTTATATTTATAATCCTCTCAATTTTTTGCTTTTAATTGTTTATTTTTTCATAAGTGTGAACATCATTTAAGCTGTATTATAACTGTTAATTTTGTATTTCCCCTCACCATACTATATAATAATAATAATAATAATAATAATATATCAACAGAACATTAGATTCAGTAATCTATAACATGCTAAAATTTCCAAACTGAGTCGACAATACTGTTTGAGATAAACTCACTGCTATTATTATTATATTTATTGTTCTCAATTCGTACTTCGAATATTTTTGACTTTATACCGTAAATGTGGACAAATTCCTCTGGTTAATTTTGTTTTAATTTTTAATTTTATTTATATTTTGAGTAAATCAGATGCAATATTGTGACAAATGCTGAGAATTGCATTCTGTATTATAAGTACTGTCTGTTTTGGAATAAAGTAGATTATTATTATAATTATTAAGGCGGGAAACACGAAAAGATTGGGTGTGAGATTAGCAGACCCCACCCACGTAAAAAAACAACATCATTGCTAGTGATACTTCAAATCACTGAAACTGTATGATCCATTCATCATTTGAGTATCTTACAGGTAATGCATGCATAATAATAACATGGTCTCACTAACATTGACGGCATAGAGGTTGAAATTACATCTAATGTCAAGTACCTTGGACTGAGTATTTTCGCCGATTTTTCCTGGTCCTCTCACATCTTGCTAGTTACTAGAAAGATGTTTCGCTTAACATTCTACGTTAGGAAGTTAAGCCAGTCTGGTATAAAGCAGTCTTTGCTTTCTCAGTTTGTCAATTCCTGTATTCTAACCATCCCTCTTTACTGCTCCCCATTAATCTTTCCTGGACTACTTAAGAAAGATTTTGCTTTGCTGAGAAGGGCACTAAAAGCTGTTAGTAGGGCAAGTGGGATTTCGTTAAACCAACCGGTTAACACCATTTTGGATAGACATATAATGTCATGTAAGAAACTAGCGAATGCTACATTGTCAGACCCCAAACACCCTCTCTATACGCAGCTCTCTCCGTGCATTTCATCTGGTAGAACTAGAAGCAGCTATAGGAGGCTATATACCAGGACTACCAAGTACAAAAACTCCACAATACCTTACTTATTTGGCACAGCTGTTATGTGATGAGAAATTCGTTAGGTATGACACGATCAACTTACTGAGGAACTCTAACAAATAGTTTCCCATTAGCTTTTGTTCTCCTTTCTTTGTTACTATTATATTGTTGCTCACATATTCTATTACACACTAATTTTATATTTCATATCCTGTGGTGGTGCATTGTTTGAATATGTGAATGCAATGCTGTTCTTTTTTATTTCTTTTATTTCTCTCTTTTTTCTTTTTGTTGTTGTTGCTTTTTATTTTTAAAATCTTATAAAATTTATGAGGTAATTAGATGCAATAGTGTAATGCACACTGAAAATTCCATACCTGTACGACAAATACTGTTTGGAATAAAGCTATTATCATTATTATTATTATTTTGAATCAATCTAATGTGCCCTATTAACTAACCAAGCAGTAAAGTTGTCTTGAGTTATAGTGAGAAGTGATGACCAGTGGGGTCCAAAGACACTGGCTGGCGATGGATGGCGTTATATCTCGCAAAGTGATATAAGTAAGAGTTTAATGGACCATTGAATTCCGTCCACAATAAATGAATGTTCAGCAGACTTGGCTTCGATTACTTAGCTATGGGATCATGGTGCGTACTGCTGAAGAGTCTGAAACCAGGAAGAAACAGCTATCCAGTACTTCCTAGTAGATTTCATTGATTTTCTGACTGAGGTCAGTCCGTGATCTAAACTATAATATGTACTCTCTGCAATGCATGTTTTTACCCTGAAGGTTATTCATTTCCTTGGATTTCTTTTTTGTTTGTTTTTTGTTTCTTCTTTTTTGTAGTGTACTCATTGACTTGTTCAGTTCATTTCGTACAGTTTTGGAGAAATCACGTGGATCAGAATTCTGTGATAATTTAATCTCTAGTTGTATATTTCTACGTTTAATATGTCCAGCACTCCTATCACCATCATTATTTGGATTGATTAGTGCATTTCCTAGTGAACCAGCTTGTCAGCGTAATCTCACACTGTTGGCGAAATCATTACAGACATTGGCTAATTTCAGTACTTTCGATGATAAAGTAAGCATTTCAGACAGTTTTCTTATAACTCTGTTGGTAATAATAATAATAATAGTTATGACTGACTAGCTGACTGACTGACTGACTGGTTTCAGCGTAGACCATTCCACCGATGTGCAGCAGTTCGAGTCGCCACACTCCCTCCGTGTACCACACAAAGCAAGGGAAAACAGTAAAGAGCGATTCAAACAGAGATATGAGGTAAAAAGAATAGTAATATAGAAGAGCAATACATTGAGTGCATCTGCGCCAGATATTGAGAACGACCACTTTGAGCCATATCATCACCGATTGTCTCCAGCCTTCATTGGTTCTTACCGCGCGGAGGACCACAACCAGTCAGTCAGTCAGTTAGTCAGTCTACACCTCCCAACGTGAATGGAGTAGACTGATTGTTGTGGATTTGATGGACTGATGAGGCCATGTTTTGATTCGACCACAGTTAGCTCTTTTCCAACTTGATCTATCCATAGGAAGACAATGGCTACGGATGCATCCATAATACATGTCCTAACCATCTCAATCGGTGTAACGTTTTGAACTCTTCAGCAGTGAGCGAGCATCCATCAACCAACCACTAGGGATTGAATACCAGACCTTCAGGCTACGAGGCCAGCCTGTTGACCATTTGATAATAGTGATAATAATAATAATTTGCTTTATTCCAAAGCACAACTTGTGATACGTCATGGAATTCCTAGTATTTGTTACAATAATGTTGCTCAGCAATAGCAAAAACAGTAACTTTTTGGTATTAACAGTGAGTTTTCTGTTCTTGGTTTTCCGAGCATATGATCTTTTATAATGAACTTCTAGTCCTACCTGATGAGATTCAAGGTTAGAGTTGTGAGTGGAAAGGGTGTTGAGAGTCAGACAGCGTGGATTTTGCTCATTTTTCATATGAAATTAGGTGTCTGTTGAAACTAAAATAGTAACAAGCAAACTAAGAGGTGCACCAATTTGACATAGTCCTTTTTGAGTAGCTCAGGGATGACTAAGGGTGGAGAGCAGTAAAGAACAATTGGTAAGATACAAGAGTGAACAAATTCTTAAGGTAGAGTTTGAGTGATTCCTGACTGTGTTAACAAGCTATGGGATGACCAAGAAAGACCAGAAAAAGGAACTATTCCAAGGTATTTCATGTTTGACTTAGTTTCTGTTTTATTGCCCTTCGCACAACAGCAAGAGGTGGCTCTCATGGCCCGAGTGGTCTTGCGGATAACGCTTTGGCATTTGAAAACAAGGGCACTGGGTTCGAGCCTCGGTGGGAACATCATCACTCACTGGGGAATGCAGGTACATCCAGTTGGCTGACGAGTCCCAAATAGGACGAAATGCGCGTTATCCTGGATTCCACTGCTAGTCACCATCCACCAATTAAATTCTAATTCTATTGGTTCTACCTATATAGTATGTGTCACTGCAACCTCAGGTGAACTAGTAGATACAGTTTGAAGTCCGGTGCACAGAATTTCGTCCTTTAATCGTAGGTACATAGGTAGGGATCGAAAATGTTCGGTATGTTAGAAAAAGAGATGCGGTGTAGAATGTGCGTTTGATGGCTGACCGAATAATAATAATAATAATCATTTTACGAACGTGCTGATGGAATCTTACATATCTCATATATGTCCAAACCAAGTTCACTTTTAACAGTTTTAAAAAATTTGGACATTGGGTACATGATATTCATTATAATGAAGGTTTTCTTGTATTTCCCAATGAATAAAAACAAAACGATATTGTTGTTTTTACTGAAGCTTCGCTATTTAATGCCAGAATTTACAAAATCTCAGTATATATATAACAAAGAGTTAAGGGGTGAGAAAATAGGCTTAGGTCAAGTTAAAAGGATATATTGAAGGTCAAAATAACAATGAAAATCACCAAACCAAATAACAAAGGTACATCTGCTATGGTATCAAAACAAAGTTTACTAACTTGATCGTCGTTCCTCAGTATGGGGGCATTTTTCATTGTCAAATTGGCTAATTGGTAAAGACAACAAAACCAGATAGGTGTAGATTGTTGGATTCGATAAGTGTGTAAAATGATAAAAGCAACGTGTGTTTACATAATGAAATTGCTTATCACATTCGTGTTGATTTTGTCACTTCATGGGGAAGGGAGGTGTTGTGACCAGGTCCATCATTCCTATTCAAACAATTTGGATTCCACTTGGTATGAAGTGCTTCTAATGATATTAGACGTTCTTTGTGATTTCTGAAATGCTTTTTCTGGATTTGTAAAAAATTATATCTGTGTAAAATCTCAGCGAGATTGAAATGAGTAATTCCAACGTTTCCTACATTCGGCAAACTGATTCGAACTTCTTCAGGGAAATTAATCGAAATTAGCATAACAGAGGTTTATATGCAGAAAAGGAACGTTGGAATTACTCATTTCAATCTCGCTGAGATTTTACATAAATATAATTTTTTACAAATGCCTACTTCTCACTCGGCGCCCAAATATTTTAGAACTATTCTGTCCAATCTTGACGACAGTTCATTTGATGAATTATTTTGCAATCGAATTAAATTAACAAAGAAACTACGCTAATTGGCACAATCATCGTGTTTCCACTCTCCGTTGTCTGCAATAGAATAATGCATATCCTCAATCCGGTGCTGTCGAGTCACCTGACAGCTCCAGGAGGCCGAATAAAGCAGCTCAATCTTCAGAAAGAAGACAAAGCAATAAATCCGACAGGGTGCTTCAACTAAACTCTAATCCTAAACACCATAATTTTGAAAATACGTCTAATCATAAAATTCTAGATACTAACAGTATGAACAGACATGAAGGTGTGGTCTTGTTAGCTGATGCATAGGAAATCCTTATTAATAAATAAAAAATGGATATGTATCACTAATTAATAATACTTGGTCAAAATTCCCGATTGTCTATATCTTCTTATGGAGACGTTAAGAAATGTTTTACAACTGTGTTTACCCACACACACATATACACTCTTTTTAAAGTGTTTAACAAAGGTTGACCAATATTTGTAAGTCCGAGGTCAAATTTTGATCACAGCTTATAAAATTTTGTTTATTATACTTGTTGATACTTGTTGAATGACTCATGATTGAACAAAGTTTTTAAAAACAAGAGATGTTCCTTTTCTGCAAATAAACCTCTATTATGTTAATTTCGATTAATTTCCCTGAAGAAGTTTGGACCAGATTGCCGAATGTAGGAAACGTTGGAATTACTCATTTCCATCTCGCTGAGATTTTACAAATGTCTACTTCTCACTCGGCGCCCAAAAATTTTTATAACTATTATTTCAAATCTTGACGACTGTTCATTTGAAGCTTTTTCTGGATTACTTCAATATCGTAGTCTGATTCTATAGCATGAAGACAGCCTATGGCTGATGATTTTTCAAGCTTTTCTAAGTTCAACTGGATTTATTTCTCGATGGTTGAACAGAGGCGACTCTACGGTGTTCATTTCTTCTGATTACCTTGATTCCTCAAGATGTTTACATATCTCCTTTAAAGTATTCAACAACAAAAATGTTGGAAATGTTTTATTTCTCTAACATTTCTGTTTTGTTTATTTTTGTTTTGTTTTTTGTGTTTTTCAGGAACCGTATATGAGATTTTTAAACGGTTATGTCACCTCTCAATTGTCTTCCATGCGTTCATTTATTCGATCAATATCAACTTCGTCAAATAATGATCACACTACCGATAAGGTGAATATTGTTCACGGCTCTGATACTAATATTGAAGCTACTACTGGTATCAGTAATGCTCTGTCTGACTCTCTGTCAACTACAAATGCTGATCAAACGAGATCCACCCTAACTGCAACACTACCAACACCAACAACATCAACAGCAACAACAACAGCGAAGGCAACATCACAGAATAACATTAAAGATACAATTGATGAAAGCTGTGAATTAGCTAATTTGCATGTTATACTGTCAGATGTTATATTCCGGGATTCATTGACAACTCCTTCAGTGACCATTACCAATAATACTCATACTAATACTAATGCTAATACCACTGCTCCTGATGTGAATACTACGAATGGACACAATGGTATAACAATAGATGCACACGAGGTCAATTCAAGTACTCAAGGAATAGTTTCACCAATTTTCCTTGTGAGTTACCACTATTTTTCTCCTGAACGTATACTAAGAACATACGATTCAATTCAAATGTTGACACCTTTCTGTATCGAAAAGTCATTAAAAAGACTCTAGTATTTCATTTTTAGATGTCCTTATGACTAGATAAGAGGACGGCACAATAAGAAGAAGTGCTTATATAGAAAACCTACATCAACGGGCCGGTACACACATTTCCTCAGCTTTGTGCCTTTGAAATACAAACGCAATCTAATAAAGTGCTTTGTCCATAGAGCAAGAGAGATTTGCTCGGACAAATGTCTTGACGAGGAACTTAACAATATTAAACGGTTGCTAAGTGAGAGTGGTTATCCTGAAAAGTTTATTGATAAGAATCTGAATCTGAAACCAAAGCAGCCCAAGTTACCAACAGTTCCAAAAAAGGTCTTGTTCTTACAGATGCAGTTCCTAGGAGACAACACCAGTGAGATACTAACACAGCGCCTTAGAAATGAGGCGGTAAAAAGAGCATTCCCTGCCACTGAATTATGCTGTATCTTTAAAACCACTCCTCTTCTGCGTTCGGGAATAAAAGACAAACTGCCTAATTTCACCTCTTCCATGTGTATATACCAATTTAACTGCTCCTGTGGAGTGAGCCAGTTACATAGGCCGTACAATTAGACGTGTTTCTCATAGAATTTCCGAACATCATCCTGCCTGGTTAAGCAAAGGACAAACAAAATCCATTCGCAGCGCTATTCTGCCTCATCTTGTGGAGACAGAATACAAGATTGACGTTAATCATGCTTTCAAGGTCATTTACCGCATACCTACGAATCTCAATTTTGCTTTAAGATTTCGACTACTAAATATTGCTGAGGCTGTGGGGATCCATATTAACAAGCCTAATTTATGCACCCAAAAGAAGTTAGTTCAGTCATTATCATTACCCGCTTGGCTATCTAGGTTTGAATGATCCTCAACTTTTTGTAGAAATTTCCTTAATTTTAGTTGATATTCTATTTGCTATTATATCTTTATTATTATTATAATTCAAGCATCTTTAATGTACTGTAATTCCATTGTGATCTTACTTTACAAATCGATATTATTTAAACAACATACTAATATTGTTATTGACTACTATTCTAGAATAATTCAGTGTATATAAACATTTACGTATATAATTGTAGAGCCTGAAAGAGGAATTTATCGAAAAGAATATTCTTTGCTCAATTATTTTGTGTAATATATGTGTGTAACGACAGAAGACAAGGGCTAGGCCAAACAGATCGTTTATTGAGAAAATCAACAGATATTTATGGATTTTTATGTACATTATTATTAGCGTTATTGTTAGCAGAGAAGCAACGTCTTCTGATTGGTCGTTTTCTTGCTCAAGGTTATCTCTTTGTGACCGCGTTTCTTAGAAAGTTAAGTCATATATCTGCGAATCATATTTCCACACACGTTAACTCCACTGTGATTGGCTAGTGATTTTCTCAAGGTTAAGCTTTGTAATTGTTTTTCTTATGGCCTTGATTCAGGACGTGAACATTGACGTAAATTGTTGTCTACAATTTCGGCTTCCAGGCAGCTCTGTCATCACATGTGTACTTCTAGAGCGAGAGTATTGTTAGGTGACATCAGTCTTTTCATTCTTTTCGTGATCTCGGTTTACGGTCCGCCCTGAACCAAATGCAGTTCGGATGAAGAGAATGATGAGCTTTGTCAAAAGCTGTTTCGTTTGTTAACTAAAAGTAAAACTCTATAATACGAACATCTTAACAGGTGATCTCAGTGTTCAAATAGGGAAGTATATCGCTTGCACCTAGTGGAGTGCCATGCCGACAAACCGACAGCGGTGGTCATCTTTTAAGATTCTGTTCAAGTAGTCATCTATTCTTGGTTAGCGAATGGTTTGAAGTATAAGGAGAGACACTAGGGCTCCTCTACCCTGGTGACCTCCAACATTAAATTCACGTTGAGCATAAATAAATGGGAAGGGTTGGTAGCAGATTGCGGCTACTTGTGGAACAGCTGTGTAAACTCTTGTCACTCATTGGTGCGTGCATGCATATACTTTCGACTGAATGGGCATGGAAAGTAGGCAGCAATACCTGAGCCAGTTACGCCTCCCACTTTATGAGAATATGAAGTGTACATACAGGAAAGAGATAACTAACTAAAGACGTATCTGAGATTGACAGTGATAAAATCCATCTTAAGGAAGCCTGGCATCATATCTAGTCTGCTGTAGAAAGTAAGCACCCCCCCCCCCTATTGTAGGGTGCTTACTGTCGGTGATTCTCAAACTAGGATGAAACAGAGTTGTTCAGTACTCCAGTGTTGGTTGTCAATTGTTCTCTAATTGATATCAATCCGTGGTCAAACTCGTAAAAATAAATTTAATCCTCACAAACCAGCTCTTGAGAATTACAGTTATTATAATTCGTCATAATTTATACCCTTCATGCAAACATTCTCTCAATACTATCGAATTTTCCATTTATACTATCCGGACTCATTAATTATTAGTGATATTATCTCTTTTCTCAATATATGCCTTCCTCCACCTGTTTCATTTCTCACATTCGTTATTTCATTATGAACCGCTTTCATTGCAGTCTTACTATCTCCTCCTCTTTAATACACACTACGTTGTACTAGCCACTCACTCACCTGACACCTTTTATAACCTTGAACTGACTTACTTGTCAATTTTCCTACCCCACATTCTACGAATCTATTATGACGACTAGTCACCACCATTGTCTCGCATTTCACTGAAATATTTTGTATTCGATTTCAACCTATCACATATTACATATATATATATATATATATATATATATATATATATATATATATATATGTATCACGTTTGTCACACAAATACCACTATTTATTTTGACACCCAAAACTAATTTGTTATTCCACGTAAATTCAATTTGAACGAAGAATATTCTTTTCAATACATCCTTCTCTTCAGGTTCTTACAATTATAAAATATAATATTTATTGTTGTCGTTACAATAATGATAGCCAGTTGTGCGCATCTGCACGTCTGTTCCTATCCTTCAGTAGCCGTCCAATGTTCACCCAGCAACTCAAAGATGTCTTACCTAACCTTAGCTCTTCTTCATACATATACCATTTCAACTGTTCCTGTAGTTCAAGTTGTATAGGGCGCACGATTAGGCTGGTTCGTCTACGGGTTCGAGAACATTTACCAGCTTGGTTCAGCAACGGGAGGGGGGAAATTAAGTGCATAAAAAGCTCGATCCTGTCATACTTGGTCGATATTGAACATCGCATCGACACCAACACAGTTTTCAGGGTTATATACCGAATTCCGAAGTCGTTATCACTTACAGTTTGCTTACGTCTTCTACACATAGCTGAAGCTGTTGCAGCAAGATCGAACTTTGTATCCAAAAACAACACATCCAGACGCTGTTCCTACCGTGATCAAACTTGGATTGATGATTCTTCCTCTCACCAAGAGTGCTTCTTCCCCTTAACCCTCTTGTTTTTTTTCTTTCTTTGCTTATTATTACAGTTCCATATTAGTTTATTATTATTATTGTTAGATGTATCACACAGTGAAACAGTATTATTTACTGGAAATTATGCTTGAAAGAAGAAATCCACCAAATAGTTAAAAAGTTGCGCCATATCATACATGAAATTGAGCAATTAAAGCAAAAGCTAATGGGAATAGTTACCAATGTAGATTATGATCTTATAACACAGTCCCCTAGCAATGCAAAATCAGCAACTTTCAAAAAGTCAAAAAAATACTCAGATCAAAAGGTTCAATAAATTATTAGAGGAGAAATCTTCATCTCAGAACGATGAAGTCAACAATCTAAAGTCAACGGCGATCGATAAATCAAAGTGGGTTATCAATCTCTCAACGCATATATCAAGTCCTACGGAAATAAGTGTATTAGAAAAGGGACTAAATTTCAATGTAGGAGTAGACAAGCTGAAACCTGAGGATGTCATCCCTAATATGGAAACAGCACTAAGTGTGTGGGATAGACAAAACAACGTCTGACGAAGTACGGGCACAATGCGCACTAATATTAAAACGACAAAAACGTGGAAAGCCTAACCTGACAATCCAGTAAATAATACGGTTTCACTATGTGATACATCTAATAAACAAACTAATATGGAGTTACTTACGACCACAGTGCCCAAATTTTGCACATATATTATTACAGTTATTATTATTCGTCATAATTTATGCCATTCATGCAAACATTCTCTCAATACTATCGAATTTTCCATTTATACTATCCGGACTTAATATTATTAATGATATTGTCTCTTTTCTCAATATATGCCTTCCTCCACCTGTTTCATTTCACATATTCCTTATTTCATTATGAACCCCTCTCATTGCAGTCTTACTATCACCTCCACTTTAATACAGACCACTTTGTACTAGCCACTCACTCACCTGACACCTTTTATAACCTTGAACTGACTTACTTGTCAGCGCTTCCTACCCCACACTCTACAAATCTCTTATGACGACTAATCACCACCACCATTGTCTCCCATTTCACCGAAATATTTTGTGGTAGATTTCAGCCCAGGGCACGTTTGTCACACAAATACGACTATTTATTTTGACACCCCATAACTATTATTCTGATAGCATTATTAGAAGACGGAGATTATCTGAAAAATGTGATGTATTAGCGCTATACATTTCGAACAATCTGATCCCTAACACATTTACTTGTCAAGTCGATATATATGGAAAAGTGAAATTAAACAAAGTGACAAAAAAAGAATTAAGAATAATTAACACTGACGCTTGGTAATCCAATCAAATAAGGATTACCAAGGTAGGTTAAGAGTAATAACAAACTGTTTTTGAATACACAAGGGGGGCTTAAGCTGGTGAATAGCTATAGCCTCAGCGTATTTCAACAAGCACCCTTGACCGTTTTTATAGATGACCTTAAAGGCTGAGTTAACATCAACCTTATGGTTCATCTCGATTAAATGTTTAGCTATAGACGAAGTTGGTAGTCTGGCACCTGCATCTATTAGCTTGTCACAATTCATCTGTTTTTCTAACCACTTTGAGATATGCTCTCCCACCCTCACATGCATAGCGCGATTACTCCTCCCTATTTATGTACGTCCACACACACACACACACGAAAATTGGCAAATTGTGTGGGATGTGATATAATCACTTGTGCACTTTTGAGGTTTGCAGTGAAGCATTTTTTAGCTTTTTCCGACAATTACAAGCTGGGCTGCATAGTAGGTTCTACGGATGATGGAATTCAACCTTTGTCTCAAAATCCTACGTAAAAAAAATCTATCCGCCGCATAACTAACTGGCTATCATTATTGTAACGACAACAATAATCCTTAAAAACCAAACTATAGAAATTTTATTCTGATGCTCGCTAGTGACTTGCTACAGGTTGGAGCTTCCTGTAGTTCTAGTGAGAAGTCGTGACCAGTGAGGTGCAATTAGAAGTCACGTGTGTGCATGGATGTCCCACCAACGACAATAGTTGGGGTCGCGCTAAAATCACGAATTGGTAGAAGTTAGAATTCATGGACTGGCCATTGAATCGGGTCTCAGTGGCTGAATGGTATACGATCCAGCTTGCCTTGTAACCGGAAGGTCCTGGGTTCGAACCCTGGTGGTGGGTGCGTACTGCCGATGATTCCCAAACTAGGATGGATGAAACAGCAGCTGTCCAGTACTCGAGTGCTGGTTTTCAATTGTTCTCTAACTGATATCAGTCCGTGATCAACTCGTAATACAATAAATATCATATTTTCATAATTGTGTAAGAACCTGAAGAGGAGAAATTATTGAAAAGAACATTCTTCGTTCAGATCGACTTTTATTAATTCATGTGATATGGGAATATTTCACAATACTCTAAGAATATTCTCCTTTCTGTATTTTTGCCTGTGTTTGTGTGTGTGTGTGCGCATAAACATTCAAACTTCACTGGAGAGACGGGGGGGGAGATTTTTATGGACAAAACATTTGGTCTAAACTTATTCATTGATTGATAGGCACACATACTATCACGTCTGAATAATGGTCGAATGAATGAATGCATGAATGAATGGGCAGAAATTCTAACCTTGTGTATTTTTTTGTGCCTGGTCAAATACTTATTATTATTGATTTGTGTGAAATATAAATTCATAATTAAGGCGTGGAATAAATATTTTTTAGTTCAATGTGTGTATGTATACAATAAGGTATTTTATTGATATTATTGATCGGTCGATTTACAACTGACGGCTGTTCATCATTCTATGAAAACTGATAATACAGCTGGTCTGATATATTTTAATGTATACTGGTCTAAATAAAAAGAGGGAATGAATATGACTAGCAGTGGAATCTAGGACAACGCGCATTTCGTCTTATTTAGGACTCTTCAGCTGGATAGATGTACCTGCATTCCCCAGTGAGTGAGTGAGTGATGATGTTCCCATCACCGAGGCTCGAACCCAGTGCCCATAGTTTCAAACGTCCAGGACGAAATGCGCTAGTCACTGCTAGTCACCATCCACCAATTAACTTCTGAGATTCGAACCCGCGTCACCCAGCGCTGCAGTCAGAGACATAACTACTGAGCTATTCGGGCTGGCGATCCAATCAAAATACCCACTACAGTATTTCAGGAGGTCAATCGCGAACGTGAATAGCTCAGGCGGCAGTGGGTGACACGGGTTCGAATCTCAGAAGGGATACGAGTTGCTTCGAGGTTGCAGATACGCCTTGCTGACTGGTGAGTGCCAACTAGCACGAAACCTAGGTCGAAGGCTTCCTGACGATTGCCTCTAACTATCCAATATCATCAAATCAATGTACACCGTGATGGTGAGCTACCTAGTGGCATGGTGGCCACATTACAAACCTGACTGACTGATAGAATCCAGTCTGCACCAAAGAAAGGACTAGACACGTCGCACTAGTTAATAGTGTCCAATCAAGAAGCCGACATATCATCCAGAGACCAACCACTTCAGTCCAGTCAATCAACGGAAAAATCTGAAATTGAATTAAATCACTGATATGACTCGTTGCACAAGAGGCAGTGGCTCTCGTGGCCCAAGTGGTCTGGTGAATAACAATTTAGCGTTTGAGACTATGGACACTGGGTTAGAGCGTCGGAGATGGGAACATCATCACTCACTCACTGGGGAATGCAGGTACATCCAGTAGCTCATGAGTCCTAAATAGGACGAAATGCGCGTTAACCTGGATTCCACTGTTAGTCACCATCCACCAATTGAATTCTAGTTACATGACCAAACATCGTCGAAGCATCTGCACAAGAAGCCGATTTGTTAACTTGAGACCGAGCACTTCGTTCCAATCAATCGACGGGAAAATCTAAAATTGAATTAATTACGTATATTTTTTTTCATGTGTGAGATAAACGTCAACGCATGCGTGTCTTCCTTTTGACATTGATTCCAGTCCTGTCTGATGAAGAATGATGATTCCACACACACACACACAACGGGTATACACCATCTCAGAGTTTCAGCACTTGGAAGTGGTACTATTTCTGTTATTACAGTGACTGATTTGCTTTTAGTTTACTGAACTAGTCTGAGATGTAGTAAAATTTGGCTTGACGTTAGCGCGGAGTTACCAACAGGTAAAGAGAGCGCGTCTTCTGAACACCTTGAGCAACAACCTTCGTATGTTTGGAATGCGATTCGCCCCTGTAAAATGTAAGATGCTGCTACAAGACTGACTGGACTACGTCAACTCCTAGCTTAGTGATAGGGAGTGAAGTGATAGAACGTTTTGACCACTTCATCTATTTGGGAAGTTGTATCAGCATCAACGGACTGATTGGTGACGAAATCTCAGCACGGATCCAAAAAGCTCGAGCTGCTTTCGCTAACTTATACCATCTCTGGTGTAGGCGTGACATCCGGCTATCAACCAAGAAGGACGTGTGTACTGCTCACCAGTTCGCTCCGTCCTTCTCTATGGTGGTGAAACGTGGCCATTGAGAGCGGAAGACATGAAAAGGTTGACTGTTTTTGATCATAGATGTCTACGATCTCTTTCCCACGTTAGGTGGTATAATAAGGTAAGTAATGTTGACGTTAGGCGTAGAGTGTTGGTTGGGCAAAGAGGGAAAATCAATCGACGAGACTATAAAGTTACATAGACTGAGATGGCTAGTTGACGTGCTGCGCATGCCTAACCATCGCCTCCCCCGACGGACAGGCATTACTAGCTGATATAGGTAGGTGCAGGTTGGAAAAGAGTAAGTTGTGCCATGCCAAACAAAAACATGGCATCAATCAATCCATGAAATCCCTGACAGTTAAACTGAGTCAGGTAGGGAGGGAGATGCAGACTTCCTGACTGGTTGGGGCCCGCCCTCGGGACTCTAAGAATCAATCAATGGCTGGAGACAATAGGTGACATGGCTCAAACTCATCGTTGTCAGTGGCTAGCGCAGATGTATTCAGTCTCTTGGGTAATCTTTCATATTCCTTTCTACCATTACTCATTCTGTTTCACTCTTATACTTGTCGAAACTCTATTGATTCTCTTCACTCATCTTCTTGCCTTGTCTACCTTTCTGTGGTATTTGGAACGTGGCAACTCGAACTGCTGCACTTCAGTGCCATTTTCTATGTTGAATCCAGACAGACAGAGCGAGAGAGAAAGCGAGAGAGTTAACTTTGTCACCCCCTGATTCGAATATTTGCTTGTATGATCTACTCACTATACTGTATTGTATTGCATTTTATTTGTTTGTTTTTCTTTCTTTTTGTTTTCCCCAAGAAACCTGTTTGCCCTACCATTGTAACCAATTTACCCGAGGAATTATGCTCACTACCAAGGATACTGGATGATATTTCACGGGCTTTACAACAGATCACATCCAGTGAATGTAAACAGTATGACAAGACAACATCAGTCAATCATACACACACAATTCTGATGAATACTAACGATTACAGTTTATCACACCATCAAAAAGGCGGTAGTAGTAGCAGTGTTATGCAGTCAAATATTTCACCGTCTTCATCGAGTCCTAAGCATCATAAGAGTAAAAAGTTTGATCATGACAGAGAACAACCATCCTCATCATCCTTGAGTCCAGTTCATCATATTCATCATCATTCTCATCAGTATACATCAGTTGCTGGAGGTGGTGGGAATACACCCTACTATACTGTGCATTATAATCCAGGTTTTCATTATCCTGACAGCTATTGTAAAGTTGGACTGAACAATAATAACGCCACCAACACCGCCACCACCACAAGCAACAGCAGCACTGGCTTACTCTTACCACAATTAAAACAGTCAGCCTCGCTAACCGGTCTGCCGTCATCCGATGTATCCCAGTCGAATCCAAATGATTATGATGAACCGTATATGAGTCCTGAAAGTGATTGTGATGATATGCATGAAACCGGTGTCAATTCAGATCATGAAGTGATCAGTAAGAAGGCACAAACAGGCACAAGTAGTAGTTGTATTACATCAGTAAGTATGTGAATTTAATTATCTTGCTTTTTGTTCATGTAATTATTGCGTCTTTTATTAAATAATTTAGATGTGATAGAGAAGATTTGTAGCTCAGGTGGATGATTTTGATGTGGTTGTGTTATCTGAACTGGATAGTTAATTTGCGAAGCTTTCATCGCCTTACTAGGCGACATCTTCAGTGCTTACTTCAATTTGAAGTGAGCTTTTAGATTTCTCCACGAGTTTATCAATCATCTCTCCCACTGGGTGACCTTGGACTTGATTGGTTGTTTTTGTGTGTTTTCACACCTTCTAGGCTACTTGTATTGGAACTGATTGTTTCTTTGACCTGAACTTTGACCCTTTGTGTGTGAGGTTTCTTTCTTACCGGTTGATAAATTTTGTCTATCTCAATGTGTCTATTGATTGATGATTCACTGTAATGCTAACCTTCTAAAAATTCTCTAGCATTCTTGTTGTTTCCTCTGTCTAATATTTGAACATTGGTTGTCCCAGTCGAATTGATGTCCGTGGTTGTCTGAATGCAGTGAGTGATGTGAGAGAGTGGATATCATTTCTTTTGACGGCTAGCTTATGTTCGTGGATATGAAGACGAAGGGGACGTCCACTTTGGCCAATGTAGTGTTCTTCGCAGTCGTTGCAACTTATTTTGTAGATGATGTTGGTTTTATCTTCTTTCGCTGTTCAGTCTTTTGGTTGACACAGAGCCAACTGAGTGAAGTAATTCTGTTGGTTTGTGTGTGACGTCAATTCCTAAAGGTTTGAAGAGTCTTGTAGTGATCACTCAATTCTTGGGTTCCGAGTAGAATATATATATATATACCTAGGCGTCGATTGCTAGGTAGGTGGGAGGGGAAATCAATCGACGAGGCTATGAAGTTACATCGACTGAGATGGTCAGAACATATATTACGTATGACTAGTTATCGCCTTCCTCGACCTCCGGGCAATGTTAGCTGACATTGGGTCAGGTTGGAAAAGAGCTAGCGGCGGTCAAACCGAACATGGCTTCACCAGTCAATGAAATCCACAACAGTTAGTCTAAGCCAGCGATTACAACTTCTTTGTTTTCTGTATACATTGTCTGAATGACTGGTTTCAACATGGAGCTTTACACAGATGCCACACTCCATTTCATGTAACACACAAAGCAAGAGAAGAGAGTAAACCGACGTTCAAAAGACAGATAGATAATAAACACAAGTGTGAGTGAGGGACGAAGAATAGTAACATGGAAGAATAATAGAATTTTATTGGATATGACTGGGAAATTACAAAGAGTGAGTGCATCTGTGCCAGCCATTGACAACGATTTTGAGCCATATCACCAATTGTCTCCAGCCTTCATTGGCTTTTACTATCGCGAGGAAGTCTACACCTCCCTCCCTACGTGACTGACTGGCTAGCTGGCTGGTTTAAACTAATTGTTATGGATATCATTGACTGATGAATCCATGTTTTGGTTTGACCACCACCCCACCACTGACTCTTTTCTAACCTGATCCATCTTATGTAAGCCAACATTGCCCTGACCGTCGAGGAAGGCGATGGCTAGGCATGAGTAGTATTGTAACAACAGAAGACAAGGGCCAGGCAACAGATCGTTTATTAAGGAAAATCAACACATATTTATAGATTTTAATGTACATTATTGTAGATTATTGTTAGTAGAAAATACAGTCTTTTGATTGGTTGTTTCTCACAGAGAGTTAACCTTGCATCTGTTTGTGGCTGTGTCAGATCATTCATATGCTAACTGTATCCGCCTACGCAAAGCCTTTGTTCTCATTTTCTCACCACCAATATTGGGGATATAAACATTGACGTCAATTACTGTCTACCAACTTTGGCTAGCAACCAGCTCTCACCACAGTAACACATGGCCTAACCATCTCTGAATCGATGTAACCTCACAAACTTCTCGATTGATTTCCCCTCTCCCTTTCATAGCACTCCACGCCTAACGTCAATAATACTCTGTTATACTATTTAAGACGGGAAATAATAGAACACAGACACCAATGATCAAAAAGACAGCTAGCCTGTCTGTTCAAGTCTTCCACTTTCAATGGCTTTCATATCTCACTTACAGCCATAAAGGAGGACGGAAGGAACTGATACGCTATGCTGCGCAGCCAACTGGATATCACATCTACTAAGCCAGAGATGGTGTAAGTTATCTGACAAATGTCGAACAAGCCTCTCTATATCCGTGCTCATCAGCAATCTCAAATCAGATTGCAAATAATCAATCTTGATTAACTGATCACTATCTTCTTTCAATGTTTTGATAAACAATCGTTTATCAGGCGTTTTTCGCTTCAGTGTTCTCTTTGTCTGAAATGAATTTACACGCTGACTGAATAGACAGAAAAAGAGAAAAGGAAAAGGAGAAAAATAAAGGGGCCTTATGGCAAGCTAATAACGCTTGCTCGCCCTCTTTCTTCTCCGTCTCTCTTGTTTCTTCTCATTTTTTTTTGTCTTTTTGTTTTCCTGAAAACAAATCAACTCTACCACCATATGTATGATAGCAGATTTCATGTCACATTAATCAAACACACGTACACACACACACACTCATGTTCATGAGGAGGCTTGATTAAAATATGCGCGTTTTGGTCGGATGATGCTGCTTGCTTTTATATGTGTTGTATTACGGCTTTGTTCTTTGCTGATTTTTAACTTTGAAAGATGAGAAACCAGTTTTGCATGTGTCATTGAAGAGAAATCTTTTGTTTGTTTTTCGTCCCTCCCTCCCCCCTCTAAGTCTGTCTGGCTGTCTCCAAGATATCGTGTGTTTTGTTATTGAAGTCACAGAAAGAGAGAGAGAGACGGAGACAAGCACATGTGATGTGATGATGAACGTCATTCATTCTTAGATATTTTCATAAACTGCTATAATCGTCGGTTGTATCATATTGATTTATTTTTATTAAAAAATTACGAGTTGATCACGGATTGATATCACAGTTAGAGAACCATTGAAAACCAGCTGCTTCATCCTAGCTTGGGAATCATCGGCAGTACGCACCCACTGCCAGGGGGTCGAACCCAGGATCTTCTGGTTACAATGCCAGCAAACTCGTATTCCTTTAAACCACTGGGACCCGACTCCTCAATGGTCAGCCCATGAATTCTAACTTCTACCAATTCGTGATTTAGCTCGACCACTTACTAATGTCATCTGTCCATCCTCACACTTGTGACTGGATGGACCTCATTGGGGTTCTGTTGAAAGGTCGTGACCAGTGAGGTCCATCCAGATGTCACGTGTGAGGATGGAAGTCCCAAAGATGACATTGGTTAGTGGTCACGAATTGGTAGAAGTTAGAATTCATGGACTGGCCATTGACGGATCGCGTCCTAGTGGCTGAATGGCATATGAGCTTGCCGACGTTGTGAACGGCAGGTCCTGGGTTCGAACACTCTGTTGTGGAATGCGTACTGCCGATGATTCCCAAACTAGGCTGATGGAACAGCTGTCTGGCAGTACTCTAGTGCTAGTTTTTTTCAATGGTTCTCTAACTGTGAAATCAATCCGTCGGCAAACTCGTAAACACAAAACTAATCCTTACAAACCAAACTATAGAGAATATATTTATTTTTAATTGATTAAAAATGCCTATTAAAATTTTCAAAAGAATAGACACGGAACAAAGAGTACTCTTTTCGATAACCCCTTCATCATCAGGTTCTACAATTATATATACATTATAATGAATGAATGAATTAGTCTTATGAACGACATTAATGCTGTTTAAATAACATCAAATCAATAATATTGATAAATTACAGCTGAACAGCATCAACATAAAATAAACTGAATGTCAGAAGAATTAGGAAAGGTAATAGTACAAATTCATGAGTTTATAGTCTCTACTGAGGGCCAGGGCAGTAGTAGGGGCTGGCTGGACTTGCTACTTTTGAACACAGAGCACTGATTGTTTGAGGCGAATTGCAATAGCCTCTGCTGTTTTGAGCAAGCGGTGCTTCGACGATTTTGGTAGTTTGTTAGGCACCCAGTACATTATAGAGAAGGATTCTTCTACGCTGGCTGGTTTTGTGACCGGTTTGCACCAGATGGTCTAATATCGAGCTGTTAATAGTTTTCACTACACCTTTACTTAGCCATAGTGGGATATTTTCTCGAGAGAGCACGGAAAATCAAGTTCCTAGAGCAACGGCCAATATAACTCGCTCCACAAGCGCAGTTGAATTGACAGATACAATTTGAAGTGGCTAGTCCAGGTACTGCATCTGTACTTTTTCTGTTTTTTTCTTTATCTTTGCCGAAAAAAACTAGACTTTTCAGTCCTACTCCTCGTCATTATCGATTGCAAACAACAGTAGCCTGACAACAAACTACAACATCAACAAAACCAACAACAACAAGACGAATGGCTATTCATCAAAAGATAAGAAGATCTATGATCATAAATCAATAAGTTTGGATAAATTGAATAATTCTGATAATGAACATATTTATGATATGGTACCATTATCTTCATCATCGTCAACGTCGGCATCATCATCATCACCTTCGGCATCGCCATCACGTGATGCACTACACCGCATGAATGGAGTAAACACGGCGAATGATTCATATATCCATCAACCAGATCAAGTAAGTATCGTGTACTGTATTACAATAATAATTATGATTATTCCCCTGGGTTCTGAGAAGAATATGGCGCTCTAGCAGTAATACATCATCTCCATGCCACTCTGTTCACTGCAGCCACAACGGTGGCTAAGTCTTCATCCTCCCCCCCCTCCCACACAATCCTCTATGTCACCCGCGGAGAAGTACTCAACTCATCAGTTCCTATTTTGGCCTTCACTTGACGACCTGGCTGGTACGTGATGTTACTCAATGTTCAGTCCATCTACGTTTTCTTCTGGACGTTAGCTACTTTCTTTTGCCTCGTTGCTAGAGTTCCTTGTCGTTTATTTTCTTCCAGACCGTCATCTGATATACAGGTGTTGGTGAACGTTGAAAATGCTTTTTGTGACGCTCACTCCCACTGTCTTTATCATATAAGAAGCGCTGACTTGCAGTTGGTATTAAAAATTCGTATCTTGTTCCCTACTCTGGGTATTCCTGACCGATAGCCGCTACATTGACGTGGCGATCTCGGGCTTCCACATCGCAATGATGCAATAAGCTACACTGGCTGGAACTATTGTTCGTGTAGGTCCAACCATGCTAGGACTAAAAGCAGTTACCGGCTTAGTGTACGAATTTTTGTTTCACACTATGCTGGGAGTCTGTGGGCGAAGTCGTACTGCTGGGGAACAGAGATGTAACAGCATTGAGGTGTTTCCCTGAGATGACCAGCATGTCGGCCAGCTATACTGTCTCTCCACTCTGGAGAGAGAAAGATAGGGGGTTAGAAAAGGTCGACGCCAAAAATGGTACATCCCAATTTACCTTACGGTGGTGGTCCGTAACTGGCGGTAAGTTTATTAATGTGGAACCAAACGAAGAAACCAGTTCATACTAGCGTGTTTGACCGGCTGACTTCAAGCAGTTTTTCCTTGGGCTCTGCGGTCATGCAACACTAACCCTCTTTCAGTTTCAGGTACCCGAAGAATCAATCAACTTCCAAGGTGTGGTCATCCAGGAAGTAACAACCGCCCACTCACTTCCGAGATCACACGAAGCCTCCACGAGCATCATTCTCCTCTGGATATTGTTGTTCTTCACAGTGATTTTAGAGTAATGAGAAACCTGTCCTGTTGTTTTCGATGCTACCTAGCTTCGATATCTTCATCTGTGCTGCCTGAAGCTGAGATGTTGCTGGCTAACAGGTTGATGGCTATTTAGAAAGAGACTACCTTCTGTAGATTTTCTTCCGTTCATGATGATTGCTGCTTGTTGTTGTTACTGGTTGGGTATCTTTAGTGTCTCTGTCTAATCAATGTTCACTTAAAGTCCTGTCTTCACTGCTTCTACTGCCAACATTTTGGTTTTCACCTGTACATACTCGTGTGTGTGTGTGTGTGCGACATTGGACACAAACCATCCACGAAATCCAGATCTTCTAGTGTTTGGTGATAGCAAGGAGTCTTGTTCTACTCCAATTTCACTTTCCAAGACTTCAGTGAGTTTTCCTTTGTCAATCCCCTGACATGTGATGTGCAGCACAACGTGTACATTTATTTGATGAAAGTCCCACTGTCAGTAGTCATTAATGAAACTTCTGGAGATTGTGGATCAACTTGGACCTGGTTTATTGATCGGTAAGTAGTGTATATAGGGAACATGTTTATGTTAACGATGGTCAAAAGGATAAGTTAAAAGAGAAGATTTGTAGCTCAGGTGGATGATTTACAATCAGTTATGTTGTCTGAACTAGCTGGTTGGTTTACTTGCGAAGCTTTCGTCGTCCTTCTCGAGAACATTTTCAATGCAAGTTTTAGCATAAAATGAACTGGAATTTAATTGGTGGATGGTGACTGACTACCAGTGGAATCCAGGATAAATATTTAGTATCAGTATTATGCCTCATTAGAGTTAGGTCAGATTCTAGGCTAACTAACTAATTTCTACTTAGTGAAACATAAACTAAAGGAAATTCAATTAGAAAAAGATGAGAAAATGATTAATTCTGGTATAGTAGTCATTTTAAATTGTATATGCTGACTAGCAGTGGAATCCAGGATAACGCGCACTTCGTCCTATTTGTGACTCGTCAGGTGGATGGATGTACCTGCATTCCCCAGTGAGTGAGTGATGATGTTCCCATCACCGAGGCTCGAACCCAGTACCCATAGTTTCAAATGCCAGAGGGTTATCCACTAGACCACTTGGGCCATGAGAGCCACTGCCTCTTGTGCAACAACGGGTCATATTAGTTATTTAATTGAATTTTAGGATGAAATGCACGTTATCCTGGATTCCACTGCTAGTCACCATCCGCCAATTAACTACTAATTTCATGCCCAGATATCGTCGAAGCATCTGCACAAGAAGCCAACAGATATATCACCCTGAGACAGAGCACTTCGGTCCAATCAATCGACGGGAAAATCTAAAATTCAATTAAATAAAATGAACTGATTTGAATTCGCCATGAATGGTAGAATTGTATCTCTTGGCAACCATCTTCGTCCCTTTCAAATCCAAATACAAGAACACAAATTAGCTGTGATGAAAAGACACGATATGCATTCTTTCATATCAATGCATGTAGGTAATTATAGACATCAATTTGATGATTGGGATAATGTCGGAATTTTAAGTAGAGGAAACACCAAAAATTCAGTCAGAGAATTCCTAGAAGCCAAGCCTGGTACTCAAGTGAATCAGTGATTAACAAACACACATGACTATAGACTAAATTTACCAACTAATAAAAAATAAATCACACGACAAGAAAGTTCAAATTCCAAGTCAAATCGATACAGATGTAAGTCGACCCCTAGTCACGAAGATGGTTCCCAATTACTGCGGCGTACAATTTTACGATAGTAGATACACACATACGAAAATAACCAGTTAGGAAATATTTCTAGTTTTCTACTTACCATCGATTTCGTTTCGGTCAAAATGAGAGATGACATTTTCCAACTGTCGTATATTATTATATTATTATTGTTTCCTTTAGTTCCTAGAGGAACATAGGGCTTCAGCCGCACGTCTCCATTACGTTCGGTTCTCTGCCAACGTTTTCACCTGGCCCCACGTCTGCCCACATGCTTTAACCTCCTATTCACATGACCTCCTCCAACTCACTCTCACACTGACGACCAACTTGCCGCTTCCCATTCCGGTTCCACTCAAGAGAGAGCCTGGATTGTGATGTCACTTGATGCTATTTTTTCACAGAGTACGGTCAATCCAACTACCTCCATTTCTTCCTGCATATTTGTAGCACAATTGGTTCCTGCTGGGTTAGTTCGCTCTCAGAAATTTCTGTTGCTGACCGTTCCTGGCCAGCCATCTGATCTTGAGTAGTATTGAGTGAAGACAGCTATTATTGAAGGTCTGTAGATTGTTTGAGATGCTCTTTATGACGCGCTGGCCAAGTCTCTGATCCGTATAGTAGCACTGACTTCACATTGGAGTTGAAAATCCAGATCTTATTTTTCATGCTGAGTAGTGCTGTTGATCTCCACACAGACTTGAGAGTAATGAAAGCTTGCCTTGCTTTCCTGATCCTTGCCTTGATATCCTCATCAGTTCCATTCGCCTGCAGTTGAAACGATGCTTCCCAGGTAGTTAGGTGGGTAAAGGAGGTTCCTTCTCTCATATTTCTCCCATTTTGCTAATTGTTGTCTGTTGTTGTTGTTGCTGTTGCTGTTTGCCAGAAATCGTCATCACCTCTGTTTTCTCTATGTTCACTTGAAGGATGTCCTATCTTCACTGGATGCTTCTTCTGCCAACTTGTTGCTTTCCACTTGCATATCTTCCATTTTGTGGGAAATCAGACATATATCATTGGCGAAGTTCAGATCCTCCAAGTTTTTTGTGTGTGTCCATTTTATGCCTGTCTCCTTGTTACCGCGATCAGGAAAATCATTGGAGATAGTAGGCAATCAGCCTGTCTATCTGTTTGGATTCAACATAGAACTTGGTACCGAAGTGCAGCAGTTCCAGTTGCCACGTTCCAAATAGCACACAAAGGTAGACAAGACAAGAAGATGAGTGAAGAGAATCAATAGAGTTTTGACAAGTATAAGAGTGAAACAGAATGAGTAATGGTAGAAAGGAATATGAAAGATTATACGAGAGACTGAATACATCTGCGTAAGCCATTGACAACGATTTTGAGCCATGTCACCTATTGTCTGTCTCCGGTCCCGAGGGCTCCAACCCGGAGGTCTGTATCTACCTACCTGACTCAGTTTAACTGTCAGGGATTTCATGGATTGATGAGACCATGTTTTTGTTTGGCCACCACTTACTCTTTTCCAACCCACAACACCTATATCACCTAGTAATGCCCGTCGAGGTGGGGGAGGCGATGGTGAGGCATGCGCAGCACGTCACCTACCCATCTCAATCTATGTAACTTTATAGCCTCGTCGATTGATTTTCCCTCTTTGCCCAACACTCTATGCCTAGCGTCAACATTATTATTATTATTATTGTTCCCTTGGGTTCCTAGTGGAACATAGGGCTTCAACTGCACGTCTCCACTTGCTTCTGTCTTCTGCTGTACTTTTCACTTGCGTCCATGTTATTCCATACTGTTTCATCTCCTCCTCACACGATCTCCTCCATGTCACCCTTGGACGTCCCACTCGCCGCTTCCCTTTCGGGTTCCACTCGAGGGCCTGACGCGCGATGTCACTCAACGGCCTCCTCAGCGAGTGTCCAATCCATCTCCACTTCCTCCTGCATATTTGTTGGGCGATTGGTTCCTGTTTCGTTTGTTCCCATAGCTTCTTGTTGGTGATTCTTTCCGGCCATCTAATCTTCAGTATGGAGCGAAGACAGTTGTTGATAAAGGTCTGCAACCTTTTGAAAATGTTCTTGGTGACCCGCCAATTTTCTGATACGTAAAGCAAAATTGACTTCACGTTTGTATTGAAAATCCGAATTTTGTTGTTGATGTTGAGTGAAGTGACGAAGATTTCCAGATTGGTTTCAGGTTGATGAATGTGTCTCTCGCCTTC